ACGGCCACAGAAAATGGGGAGCCGCCGCGTGGACCAAGGAGGTACGAGCGACCTCCATGACCAGGCCAATGCGGCGCTCAGCAACCCCATTCTGCTGTGGGGAGTCCGGAAGCGTGAAGGTCTGCTCAATGCCCTCCGCCTGACAGAAGGTCCTCAAGAGGTCGGAGGAAAACTCACCACCTCTGTCAGAGTGCAGACGCAGGACAGGAAGATCCGTCCGGAAACGGCGGCGGAGCTGGAGACGAACTGTGCGGATCCAAGGGATCAGAACAGCAGGGACCTCACCCTTGGTGCGCAAGGGGAAGACCGTGGTGTAACGCGAGTAGTCGTCGACAACCAGCAAAAAGTACCGCTCACCGCCCTGGCCACGAACGCGGGCTGGGCCCCACACGTCCAGGTGGAGGGTCTGCAGAGGAGCCCCTGTCGGGGGGAACGAGGAGGAGTGAGGAGCGGCGCGCTGCCGCCCCTCGACGCAAGGAAGGCAAGGCGGCGCAGGCGAGGAAGGGAGAGCTCCCAGCAGCAGCAGCGTCCCCAGTCGACCCAGCAGCTTCGTGAGTGGCTTGCTCAGCGTGGGACACAAGGCGGCGACGGTGCATGCCACGGAGGCGTGGCAAGGAGGGGTGACCCAGGCGGTGGTGCCAGAGAAGTCTGGGCGGTGGTGCCAGAGAAGAGTCTGGTGCGACAGGGAACGACACTCACAGGCGTGGGCCACCAGACCTGACGCGGACACCTGACCGACAGCAGCGACCTGAGGAGACGCAGTGGTCAGTGTGTAGAGACTCGACCCCGGCCGACGAGTAAACGTAGCCAGGTGACGGCCGGTCCTGGAGCACGTGCAGATCGCCACACGCTGTCCTCCAGGGGTAAAGGTGTCAACCCACTGATCCTGGATGACAGCGTTGCTCACCAGGTTCGTCGAGAACGAGGGGAGGTGGAAACCCGTCAACGAGCCAGACGGAACCGCCGGACAAGGGAGCACAGTGGTGGACTGGGCAAGGACTGGGCCCCCAGAGGGGTCAGCCAAGGAGACTGGGACCGGTGCAGGAAGCGGTGTGAGCTCAGTACTGTCTCGAAAGAAGCAGCGGGAAGCACCTGAGTCAAGGGTGAAGGTGTGACAGGTCTCAGCCGGTGCAGTACCTGAGAGAGCAGTCTCTGTGGGTGCTGTACCTGAGAGAGCAGACTCGCAAGCAGCAGGGACAGTGCTGGAGGGAGCAGGTACAGGGGGCACCATACCAGAGAGAGCAGACTCACTAGTACCTAGGGCAGCGGGCCCTATACCTGGGTCAGGCGGCACACACAAGTAACAGTCTCCCTCGGCACTAACAGTCAATGCATACATGGCAGCAATAATAGCATCATAGTCAAGAGCAAAGATATCAACACCAGCCCTCATCAGCTCAGCCCAGCGAGGGCGCTCAACATCCTCGCCCATCTCCTCACGCCAAGCGTCGTCAAGGTGGGAGAAGCAGCGGTACTGAGTGTGGAACTTTCCACACGTCTGCCCCTTGCGACCTCCACCGCCGCCACTACCTCCGCTCCGACCGCCACCACCGCCACCGCCACCGCCACTACCGCCACCGCCGCCACTGCCGCCGCTGCCACCACCGCCACTGCTCCCGCCGCCGCCCCCGCCTCCGCCGCCGGCCCCACTCCCACCGGCACTCCCGCCACCGCTCCCTCCAGCACCGCCTCCCCCCCCCCCCCCCCCCCCCCCCTCCCCCACCCCCTCCCCCCCCAGCGCCACCCCCGCCACCCTTGCCCCCCTTGCCCTTGCCGGTGCGGCGCCTCCCACCAGGAGCAGAAGCAGCGCCAGCAGACTCAGCACCAAGGAAGTCAACAGCAGCAGCAGTAGCGTAGGAGGGAGCGAGGGGAGAGGGAGAACACCCCTCAAAGATGGGGGTGCGAGGAGCGCCGCGAGCAGCACCTACAGCTACAATGCTCTTCTCGGCTGCTAGCAGCTTCTCCTCTAGGAGGGCGACAGTGAGCTCAGTGGGACAGCGAGCAAGGAAATAGTCGCGCACTGAGCTGAGGGTGTCAGGGAGACGGGTGACTATGAAGTGGAGTGCCCAGTACAGGGGAGGGGGGTTCTTAGCGCAGAACTCGGTGGGAAGGGCGGCACGCAGGCGAGCATCACTAGTGCGAAGGTGGGTGATAAGATCGGCGACTGTAGCAAAGGTGGACAGGTCAGGGAACAGGTAAGGCAGCATGAGACGGCTAAGCTCGGCTGTGGCAGGTGAGGAGTAGCGAGCAACGACAGCGTCGTATAGGGCTTTAGCGGTTTTGCAGTCGCCAAAGTGCTCTAGCTCAGCTAACGGCAGGTGACTGCGAATAGCCAGGCGAGCTGCAGCGTCACGAGTCTGCCACTGTGAACGTACACTAAGCTCGGCTGTGGCAGCAGGAGCAGCGGCAGCACCAGACGCGTAGTCATAGAGGGAGATGTGGTCCGTGCTATTGCTCATAAGATACAACTGCAGGTCGTCGAGCCAGGAAGTGAACTGCACGGGACAGCCTTCAGCATCGAAGGAAAGAACGCGAATAGAGGCCATGGCTCAGGCGTGAAGGCACAGCAGAGCAGCGGCAGCAGCAGAGGGGACGCGCTAGAGCGAAGCTAGCAGCCACAGCAGGAGCAAGCGGCGGTGCACAGGCAGGGAGCAGCAGGCGAGGCGGGCGGCGCTGCAGGCGGGAAGTGCGGCGGGCGGGCTGCGAAGCGGGCAGCGGGGCGGGCGGGCGACGCGGCGAGCGGGCAGCGCGGCGGGCGGCTGCGAAGCGGGCAGCGGGCGGGCGGGCGACGCTGCAAGCGGGCAGCGGGCGGGCGGGCGACGCTGCAAGCGGGCAGCGAGGCGGGAGGGCGACGCTGCGAGCGGGCAGCGGGCGGGCGGGCGACGCTGCGAGCGGGCAGCGAGCGAGCGGGCGACGCTGCGAAGCGGGCAGCGGGCGGGCGGGCGACGCTGCGAGCGGGCAGCGAGGCGGGCGGGCGACGCTGCGAGCGGGCAGCAAGCGGGCGGGCGACGCTGCGAAGCAGGTAGCGGGCGGGCGGGCGGCGCTGCGAGCGGGCAGCGAAGCGGGCGGGCCGCGAAGCGGGCAGCGAGCGGGCGGGCGGGCTGCGAAGCGGGCAGCAGGACGAGCGGGCTGCGAAGCGGGCAGCGGGGCGAGCGGGCGACGCTGCGAGCAGGCAGCGCGGCGGGCGGGCGGCGAGCGGGCGGCTCGGCGGGCGGGCGGCGAGCGGGCGGCTCGGCGGGCGGGCGACGCTGCGAGGGGCGCGCGAGGGCGCTAACGAGGGGCGCTTCGAGGGCGCTAGTGAGGGCGCGCGAGGGCGCTAACGAGGGCGCGCGAGGGCGCTAACGAGGGCGCGCGAGGGCGCTAACGAGGACGCACGAGGGCGCTACGAGGCTAGGGCACGGGGTAGCGTGGTAACCGCATGCGAGCGGTGGTGGGCATTTAAAAGAAACGGTCGATAGGTCCTAGGGACCTCCTGCTCTGAATACCATGTTAAAAGAACTAGGCAAGAATGAATGCATTGAATGGAAGAATTGGGTACAAGTAGCAAACCCTAGTTGGGGTTGTACCCCATATCAGCTACCCCACTACAGCCTACCAACATATAACACATTACAATTTAACATAAGCGGCATGTTGAATATTCTGACCTTGGAGTTAGGTGGAGCGTGAGTAGAGTGAGGCAGAAGAACAAGCTCCTCTGGCGAACCCTAGACACGCGCAAAATACATCAACGTATTATTTTTAACGCCGCGCACGAAGCAGCGCACGGAGCACAGTTGTTTCGAAGTTGGCCTTGTTTCGAAAGGTCATAGTTTCGATTCCAACTGCATCCAAATCTAAAGTTCCAACCGAAAGGGTGTTCCATTGTTAGTAATTGTTTTGTTTATAAGCCTTGTTGTTTTGTTTATAAGCCCTATCTGTTTCGAAGAAGATAATAACGAAACCAAATATGTAATTGTACAAACAGCTTCGCAACCCTAAGACGATTACGTCGCCTCTTGTTTTTTTTTTTTTTTTTTGGCCTGTTTCAACATTCTGAACCTGCTTGTGTAATATGTACGTGGCCAAGCTACAAGAGGTTGATTGTAGTCGTGTATATATCCAGTCTCACCGCCGCAAACCCGACTTTCACGGCGAACTAGGAATGTTTTTTGGCTGCGAGTGGGATTCCGCACTCAAGGTTACGTATAGAATCGTTCGCAGGATTTTCGCAGAATCTCAAGGAATTCGTGAAACCGACTGTGAACTAAGTACCTTATCAGAATTAGAGAGGGTATTTTCAGAAACTCCCTCGAGGAGGTGAGAACGCCAACAGAGTCGAACCAAGAATTCACCCCTGCGTTGTCATCGCAAAGTCGGAGAGGGGATAGCAACATCGACGCGTGACAGGATTCCATTAGCCCTAACTCCTGGGAGTTTGACGAATCAGACCGGAAAGCAAAAAGAGGGTTTCGTGGACTAAGTGTCATCTTGGTGAAATGGACGGAGGCTAGGCTTTACTTGCGTTTTCATCCCGCGCAAATTTTGAGAATTCCACATCCGTCAAAGTCGCGGGTGGCAAAAAATCGCATGGTAAAAGGGGTCTGGCCGGGCCACCGACATGAGCGGAACTTGATGGTTTCCCCCTCCAGCTCGAAAGGCTATCAAAACCACCACCAAGCCAGACTCACGACGACAAGTAATCATCCCCGTGACTCTGAACGCTTCGCGTGGTCGCGTGCGACGTGCTCTTCTCCGTCAATTTTCGTCGTCGCCGACATGTAGAGAGTATCGCTTTTCCGAGTCGCCATCTCACATGCTCGAACCGCACAACCCATCTCAATTGAGTAGAGAGATTCGAAAATTCTTACCCAACCATCACACAAACCCCCGAAGAACTCCCATAAATAGCCTTCATATTCTCCTTTCCACCATCACATTCATTCCAGCTTCACAAACAAAGCACTTCAAGCGCTTCTCTCTATTCTCCCAGCAATCACTCCTTCCTCCGACGACTCGCCATGGCATTCTCTAGAGTGGCCGCCCTAGCCTGCGCGCTGCCCCTGGTGGCGCTCGTCCTGACGTCTTTCTGCCTCAACGCCTCCGCCGAGCTCGCCCCCGAGGCTGCCTCGTCCGCCCTTGCCGCCCCCGGCGATCTGGCTCAGCTTGACGCCGCTGATTCCCTTATCCACGAGGCTGCGACGAGGAGGATTCTTCACCACGACCACCACAAGAACAAGACGGACAAGAAGGACAAGAAGAAAGACAAGAAGAACAAGAACTCTCCCCCCCCTCCCTCCCCTTCCACTCCCACCACTCCGACCAAGAAAGGCGGAAAGAAAACTCCCCCGACCCCCACAACCCCCGCCACTCCCGGCACCTCCGCGGGAACTCCCGCGGTGAAGCTGAGCGGCGCGGATTCGAAGGTGACATCGCTGCTGGAGGCGGCGGCGGTCGACGTCGATAGCGCCAAGGCGAAACTGACGATGAAGATGTACGTTAAGAGCTTGACGGACACGGCGGCGGCGCTGCGCAACGCGGAGACGCTGATCCGCACTGGGCAGCGCACGCTGGTGGCGGGGCAGATCGACAACTCGATCGCCACCATCAACGGCGTCAGCATGATGCTCCCCGCTGGCGGCGCCGACAAGAGCCTGCTCGCCTCCGCGCTCGGCAAGGCGCAGGGCGCCAAGGCCGCGTGGAAGGCGTAACTCGCTCAGCCAGGATGGCGTCGAGGGATTTCTGAGTGCACGCTCAGGCGGGGTGGCTGGATGTGTATCGCCACTCGTATACAGGCGCGAAACTAGCTGTTGGATTCTAGGCTGATCGGCGTGGCAGTTAGTGCCCAGGTGGTGCCAGTAGCGACCAATAACTTGTGCCACTTGTTGATAATAATTGCTGCCAGAGATAATGTTGCTAATTATGAAATTGTTCTGTTCCATGTAATGACCGTTTCTATTTATGGATTTGTTCAGCTCTTCCTAGTAACCTTCTCATAGTGTTGGAATAAGCATGCGTCTCATCCAGCTCACTTTGCACATCTACCGTAGGTGAGCAGAAACACTATGTGTAGGTATAGGCTGTGGCTAATGTAGATTCCTTTTCAGGTTTATTAGACAAGAACAATGACCATCTGATTCAAACACATCTTCAGGCCCCTGTGTGCAATAGCCTGGTAACATTTGCCTTTGCCTGCTTCAAATCTAAACATTCATCTACTCTCCCTAGCGTGATAACAGTCTGTCTAGCAGCCCCGAGCCTCCACACGCCACTATCTCCTCTGCTCCCCTCCTGCTCACCTCAGCCACCCGCCTTAGTGCCCTCCTCACCTCCCTCTCATTCTCGGTTCCCTCCTCTCCCATCCCCCCACTTCCCACCACCACATCAACACCAGCACCAGCAGCAGCACCAAGCAGCACGGCAACCAGCAGCGGCACAGCCCCCACCAGCACCAGCTGCTCCTCCACCGGCGCACACAGCCCCACAGGCACAACCGCACTCATCTCCCCCTCTCCTCCCGGCACCAGCGCTGCCACAGCCGCTGCCACGCTCACATTTGTGAAGGGATTTGGCAGCTGCTCTCGCAGCAGGTCAACGAGAGGGAGGAGGGCGCCTGTGAGGAGGATTGAGCGGCGGACGACGGGGGAGAGGGAGAGGAGGCGCAGCGTGGTGGCGGAGAGCAGACGCAGGTCGAGAGAGTAGGCCGGGGAGAGCAGGGCGACGAGCGGGGGAAGGCCACCTTCCAAGGCTATGAGTGAGCGGTAGTCCCTGGAGGAGAGAGCACGGAGAAAGGAGGGGAGGGGGCAGGTGAGTTTTGAGACATCTCAAAACACGAGCGGGAGAAGGCCACCCTCTAAGGCCATAAGTGAGCGGTAGTCCCTGCAGGAGACAGCGCGGAGAAAGGAGGGGAAAGGGGCAGGTGAGAGAGTTTGGGAAGGGAGTTTCGGAAGAGAGAGCGGAGGAAAGGTGAGGGAGGTTGAAGAGGGGGTCATACAAGAGCGTTTGAGATTGGAACTCTGGTCCAAATGCTGCTGGCCATGGCTTGTCACGATCAGGATCAACATGACATGTACACTCACTCACGAATTTGAACCGAATACTGGCCCTCCAGCTGTTGGTAAAAGCCTGTGGCGAATATGAGAGCACAGCACAAACATACTCATCCCAGCATCTGACAAATCCTTACCTCAACACACTTAATTTTCTGCAGTCTAAAGCAGCCCATGAGCCCGCCTCACCTGCCAGCAGCCCATGAGCCCGCCTCACCTGCCAGCAGCCCATGAGCCCGCCTCACCTGCCAGCAGCCCATGAGCCCGCCTCACCTGCCAGCAGCCCATGAGCCCGCCTCACCTGCCAGCAGCCCATGAGCCCGCCTCACCTGCCAGCGGCACATGAGCCCGACCCACCTGCTCTTGAGGCCAGCAATGGCAGCAAGCACCGAGACAGCATGCAACCGCACCCTCTCCCCAACCGCCGTATCCCTCACCACCTGCAGCACATGAGCCTATCAGCCCGACTCACCTGCTCTTGAGCCCAGCAATGGCACAGAGAACCGACACAGCATGCAGCCGCACCCTCCCCCCCACTGCCTCATCCCTCACCACCTGCAGCACCGGCACCAACCCCTCCAACTCCACCACCGCCACCACACCCCCCTCCGCCCTCTCCTCCCTCTCCACCCCCCCCACCCTCCTCACCCCCCCCTCTTTACTATCACCCTCGTTAGAATCACCCTCCGGAGTGACCCTAGCGAGGGCAGCGAGGGCAGCAAGGGCGTAGACGCGAACAGTGGGGGTGGAGGGGTGGGCGAGGTGGGGAATGATGCAGGCGATGAGCTTCCTGGTGGGCAGTGGCACGGCAGAGCGAGGGCTCTGGGCTAACCCTCCTATGACTCCTAGCATATACTCCTCGGTCTCCCCACTCATGCACGCCCTTGCTGCCGCTGCCGCTACCGCCGCTGCTTTCTCATGTGCTTCTGCGCTGGTGGTGCTGGTACCAGTGGTAAGGCTGGAGGTGGCAGAGCTGTTGCTGGGTTCAGTGGGGTGCAGAGCGGTGGGAATGGAGAGGGCGGAGAGCAGCAGGGGGACCGCGCCGTGCTTGACCACGCACGCCCGCGTGGCGAGCAGCGATTGGCTGTCCTGAGGGGGGTCTCGGAAGACCATGTTCTTGAAGAGCAGGGCGACTGACTCTCGCACCTCCACGTCCTGCCAGCCGGGATCAGATTGGGAAGGCGAGGGAGGAGTTGTGATCACGCTACTAGGGAGGAGTTGAGTATTGAGGCGCCTCAAAGAACCATATTCTTGAAGAGCAGCGCGGCTGACTCTCGTACCTCCACGTCCTGACAGCAGTGATCGGATTGGGGAAGCCAGGGGAGGAGTTGTGATTGGATAGTAGAGGTGGGGGAGGAGTTGACTATTGAGGCTGGTCTCTGAAGACCATGTTCTTGAAGAGCAGCGCGGCTGACGCTCGCACCTCCACGTCCTGACAACCAGACACGTAGGAATCAGATGGGGAAGGAGAGAGACGAGTTGATTATCGAGGCACCCCAAAAGACCATGTTCTTGAAGAGCAGCGCGGCTGACTCTCGCACCTCCACGTCCTGGCAACCGGACACGTAGGGATCGGAGTGGTGGGTGCGAGAGGTGGGGGAGGAGTTGTGATCAGATAGGAAAGATGGGCGAGCGTTGTGCAACTGGTTGGTGGAAGAGGGGGCGGAGAGGGGAGGAGGGAAGGTAGTGGAAACATCAAGGTTGCAGCAAATGTTTTAGGAGTCAGACGAAGTGGAAGTGAGAAGAGCAGGAGATACGATACAGTGGACAATACAGCCAATGAACAGGGGTAGAAGGGTGGGGGCGGCGTTTGCACCTTGGAGCGCAGCAGAGGCACGAGGAACGCCATGGACCGGGACTCAGGGAGGGCGAAGGTAGAGAGACCACTCAAGAGAGAACAGAGGGGCACTTGTGTTTGTTGCGGGGTGCACCTTGGAGCGCAGCAGAGGCACGAGGAATGCCATGGACGCGAGGAGGGCGAAGGCACAGAGACCACACGAGATAGAACAGAAGGACATGCATTTGTGTTTGTTGCGGGGCGCACCTTGGAGCGATTAGAGGGGCAGGGGGCGCACCTTGGAGCGCAGCAGAGGCACGAGGAACGACATGGACCCAGACTCGGTGACGTGGCAGCGCGCCGAATCACAGCGCGCCAGCTGGCCGAGGGCAAACAGACAGCGGCTTAGAATCAGGCGGTGTGGCTTCTGCACCTGCAGCAGCAGCGCCTGGTGTGACATGGGGGAAGGACAGAGAGAGACGAAGGATAGAAGAACAGCAATAACAAGGTGACTAAAGTATTGACTCAAGAATCAAGCGGTGTGGCTTCTGCACCTGCAGCAGCAGCGCCTGGTGCGTGTGACATGGGGGAAGGACAGAGAGGGACTGAGGATAGAAGAAAAGAAATACCAAAGTGACTTTTGAGTCGACCCAAAAGTCAGCAGTGTGGCTTCTGCACCTCCAGCAGCAGCGTCTGGCGTGGCATGGGCGTAAGCGAGCGAGAGACGAACGAGTGCAGTGCAGAAATCGCTAGTTGGAAAGTGAAAATCGCACATCCTCCAGATGAAAGACGTGGGTTTACCTGTACAAGAACTATCCACATACCACCTGACCGTTTTTGCCACACCTGCAATTGGGACCTGCTGCTGGCTGCCCACCTGAAGAAGCCCCTGGGAGGCCAAAGCAGTGCGCAGCTCGTCAGAGACAGCCAGGCAGACGAGAGACGTGGCAACAGCTGATTGGACGACTGGCGGGCGGCGGGAGGACGGCGGCTTGAGGGCGGCAGCGAGGGCGGGCTGCCATTTGCCGGCCAGAATGCGCGCTGCGAGGGAAGGCGTGGCCGTGATGGCGCCAGTGTCACAGCCCTGATGGGAGAGTGCGTGTAAGGGAGAGGCAGGAGTGCATGAGCAAGGGGAATGAATGCATGCGAGGGACTGACAGGAGAGCGCTGCAGGGGAGGGCGTGGCAGTGATGGTGCTTGTGTTACCGCTTTGGTGGGAGAGATGTGTGTGGGTAGGAGGATTCGTGTGCAAGGGGGAGTGCATGACCCAGGGGAACGAATGCATCTGAGGGATGGACAGGACAGCACTGAGAGGGCGGGCGTGGCGGTGACGGCGCCCGCGTCACAACCCTAGTGGTGGGGAGGATGTGTGCGCGGAAGAAGCATGAGAGTGCAACGGAGAAGCAGAGGAATCAGAGTGGTGGGCAGTGGAAGCAGCACGGATTCTCTTCCCCCAGAAGAGTCTGCGTTGAATCTGTACAGCACGCGTCGAGGGGGAGGGTGTGCTGTTGGTGGGGTTGCGTTTGTTTTCCCGGAGTTGAAGTGCCAATCAGCCAAATCAGAAGGTGGGGATCGGGAGAAACAGGTAAATTGTGGCATGGAAGGATGAATGTGGGGAGGGGAGAGGATGGGATAGGCAATAGTGTAGAAGTGAGGTGTTGATACACAGCTTTGCTGAGCGTATCCCTGTTGCACCCATCCAGGTGATTTCTGTGTCCTTTCCAGATACAAAATACACCCAACTGGTTCATTTTTTCTACGAGCTTCTTCAGTCACCTCTTGCATTCTCAAGAGATCACAGTGACTCGACCAACCCACATTGCCTCAATCACCATACCTTCCTACCTCCACCACAGCCTTGGCCGTACCTCCAGGACAGCTTCGGCAGCAGCCTCTTGGTCCTCCTCACTGCCGTACCACAGAGCCAACACCAGCGCTGCCAATGCCGCCTCCCCCTCCCCCATCGCCTCCTCCCCCTCTCCTCCTCCGCCCCTCTCTCCCGCTCTTACACACCCCTCAAAACCCACCGCCCCAATCCCGCCACTACCACCGCCAGCACCAGCACCATCAGCAACATCACCCTCCCGAGCACCTTCCCTTTTGGATCCATTTTCATCCCCAGTTCCTCCCCCCCCTCCGCCCTCTCCCCTGACTGCTCCACCTGCCGCCAACCCCCCACCTCCCCCGTGCTCTGCGGGCAGATGTACCTCCCCCGAGTACGCCCTCCTAGGATTGAACCCTTCGTCGCCACTACTACCCTGCTCCACCTCTCCTGCCGCCCCTTTCCCTCCATCCGTCATCCCGCCCTGTGCCATTCCCCTCACACTGCTCGTGCCTGTGCCTCCCCCATGCCTCCCACCCGCCAACTCCATCTCCCCATCCCCCACATCACCCGTATCAACCACATCAGTCACACCAGCCACGTCAGCTCTGCTCCTCTCTTCAAACTTGCTTGCTATCGTAGCCACTCGCAACTGCCCATTCTCTCTCAGCACCTCTGCTGCACCTCTGCCTCTAGATTCCCCTTTTTCCCTCTTCCCTGATTCACTTGCGTTCTCCTTCCCCCTCTTCCCCCCAGTCCCACACTCCATCCTCTCCCCCACTGACCGCCCCTCCATTCCCTTCCGCCTGCCCTCCTCTTTCTCTCCTCTTACCTCCTTTCCCTTATCCTCCTTCTCTCCTCTCTCCGCCATGCCCCTCATCTGCGCCTCCCCCATTTCCTCCGCCTCCTCCCTCCTTTTCTCCTTCTCCTCCCCTCCCCTCTCCGCCTCCTCCCTCCTTTTCTCCGCCTCCTCTCCTCGCCTCTCCGCCTCGTCCAAATCATCTTCCAGCACAGTCAGCACGCCGCCCGCCACGCCAGCATGCCCCACCAGCTCCGCCACATACTGCCGAAGGTCGCCGTCCATCCGCGCCAGCAGCGGCCCCACATCACTCTCCCCCCTCCCCCGACCCCCACGCCCTGGCGTTCTGCTCCCACTCGCCCCTGCCCCAGCCACTCCAGTGCTCCCCCTGGCACCAGAAGCACCACCACCACCACCACTACCACTACCAGCACCACCACCGGCAGCAGCGGCAGCAGCGGCAGCGGCAGCAGCAGCGGCCTCAACAGTGAGCATTAGGCGCTGCATGGTGTTGGCCTGGCGGCGCACGCCCCGCACATGGATGCTCAGGTCCCTCAGCGCGCGCTGCCACTCATGCAGCTCTCCATACCTCTCCGCCACCCCCACCGCGCCCCTCCCCATCCCCTCCTCTCCCTCCTTCCCCGCCTCTCCCCCTCTCTCCCACCCTTCTTCCCCCCTCGCACCAGCACCAACCCCCCCCCCCTCACCTCCCGCACCACCACCCACAGTGCTCCCCTCGACCGCACCTGCGTCCTGTGCCTCGTTATAAGCAGCCCTGCTAAGAGCGGCGTCGACAGCTGCTACATGGGCGGCCACCTCCCTGAGGTCGTCGCGGTGGGCTGCGAGCTCCTCTGCCAGCAGCGCCAGCCACGGCTCCTCCACACATGACACACCTATCGCCCACATATCGCGCCCTTCCTGTTCTCATAGGGGGAAAAGAGGGAGCAAAGAGAGGGAGATGGAGCACGGGTGGGCTGCGAGCTCCTCTGCTAATAGCGCCAGCCACGGCTCCTCCACACATGACACTCCTATCGCCCACATGTCCCTCCCCTCCTGTTACCGTGGTGTGAGGGGGGGAGAAGAGGGAGCAGGGAGAGAGAGCTGGGTGGGCTGGGTGGGCGAGCTCCTCTGCTAATAGCGCCAGCCATGGCTCCTCCACACATGACACGCCTATCGCCCACATGTCCCTCCCTTCCTGTTACCAGTGTTACCATGGGGTGATGGGGGAAAAGAGGGAGCATAAGAGAGAGATGGAGCATGGGTGGGCTGCGAGCTCCTCTGCCAGCAGCGCCAGCCACGGCTCCTCCATACATGACACTCCTATGGCCCACATGTCCGGCCCCTCTTGCGTGTGCCGGAAGGAAGAAGTGAAGATAGAGGGAGGACAGAGAGAGAGATGGAGGGACGAGGTAGGGAGGATGCAGCGCCAGCCACGGCTCCTCCACGCATGACACTCCTATCGCCCACATGTCCCGCCGCTCCTGTTACCATTGTTACCATGGGGTGAGGGGGGTAGAAGAGGGAGCAGGGAGAGAGAGCTGGAGCACTGGTGGGCTGCGTATGTTTTTTGAGAATTCTCAAAAAACATATGGTGGGCTGCGAGCTCCTCTGCCAGCAATGCCAGAAATGGCTCCTCCATACATGACACTCCTATCGCCCACATGTCCCTCCCTTCCTGCTCGTGTGGGAAGAGGGAGGGGGGAAGGGGGAGGACTGAGAGAAAAGAGCGCGAGATGGAGAGGCGAGACAGGCAATGCCAGCCATGGCTCCTCCATGCATGCCACGCCATGTGATAAGAGTGAAGTTTTGAGACGTCTCAAAACTTCACTCTTGCAATGCCAGCCATGGCTCCTCCATGCATGACACGCCTATGGCCCACATGTCCCTCCCCTCCTGCATGCACGGGGATAGATAAAGGGGAGAGAAAGAGATGGAGGGGCGAGATAGGGCAGCGCTGGTCATGGCTCCTCCACTCCATGCACAACACGCCTACGGCCCACATGTCCCTCCCCCTCCTGCTCCTGTGAGGTGAGGGCGGAACAAGTGTGGGACCCCTCCTGCCGCCCCTTCCACGCCCTCCTGCCGCCCCTTCCACGCCCTCCTGCCGCCCCTTCCACGCCCTCCTGCCGCCCCTTCCACGCCCTCCTGCCGCCCCTTCCACGCCCTCCTGCCGCCCCTTCCACGCCCTCCTGCCGCCCCTTCCACGCCCTCCTGCCGCCCCTTCCACGCCCTCCTGCCGCCCCTTCCACGCCCTCCTGCCGCCCCTTCCACGCCCTCCTGCCGCCCCTTCCACGCCCTCCTGCCGCCCCTTCCACGCCCTCCTGCCGCCCCTTCCACGCCCTCCTGCCGCCCCTTCCACGCCCTCCTGCCGCCCCTTCCACGCCCTCCTGCCGCCCCTTCCACGCCCTCCTGCCGCCCCTTCCACGCCCTCCTGCCGCCCCTTCCACGCCCTCCTGCCGCCCCTTCCACGCCCTCCTGCCGCCCCTTCCACGCCCTCCTGCCGCCCCTTCCACGCCCTCCTGCCGCCCCTTCCACGCCCTCCTGCCGCCCCTTCCACGCCCTCCTGCCGCCCCTTCCACGCCCTCCTGCCGCCCCTTCCACGCCCTCCTGCCGCCCCTTCCACGCCCTCCTGCCGCCCCTTCCACGCCCTCCTGCCGCCCCTTCCACGCCCTCCTGCCGCCCCTTCCACGCCCTCCTGCCGCCCCTTCCACGCCCTCCTGCCGCCCCTTCCACGCCCTCCTGCCGCCCCTTCCACGCCCTCCTGCCGCCCCTTCCACGCCCTCCTGCCGCCCCTTCCACGCCCTCCTGCCGCCCCTTCCACGCCCTCCTGCCGCCCCTTCCACGCCCTCCTGCCGCCCCTTCCACGCCCACCTGCCGCCCATCCCACGCCCACCTGCCGCCCATCCCACCCCACCTGTCTCCCAGCCCACGCCCACCTGCAGCGCCTTCTGGTGGCCCGCCATGCGCAGCCGCAGACTCCTCACCACGTGAGGGAAATGTATGTTGAGGAACCTGTCTGACAGGGGAGTACCAACGAAAGGAGAACGTTACCCCACCTGCCGCCAGTCCCATGCCCACCTGCAGTGCCTTCTGGTGGTCCGCCATGCGCAGCCGAAGGCTCCTCACCACGTCCCGTGCCAGCTCAGCAGCTCGCCTCCCCAGCCGCAAATCCCACGACGCCACCTCATCGCCAGCCCCTCTCATCGCCTCACACGCCTCCAGAATCTCCCTCTCCGCCCTCCCCTCCTTGCCCTCCCTCCCCTCCTTGCCCTCCCTCCCCTCCTTGCCCTCCCTCCCCTCCCCGTCCCTCTCCCTTCCACACCTCCACTCAACCCTTCTCCCCTCATCCAACCCACGCTCTCCTCCTCTCCGTCTCCCACCCCTCCTCCTTCACTAGTCGACGATTCTCCACTCAGGGAGACCGAACACGTGTCAGCAGCTGATAGGTCCTGCCGCCTCAGCCACTGCTGGATCTCATCCACAGCCCACCGCTGTGTGCCCACCACGCGCCTCTGCTCCCCCAGATCCCTTATAAGCTTCTTCACTACAGTCTCCTCCATCCACCCGCACTTAAAGCACAGCGCCTTCAGCACCCCCACCACCACTGCCTCTCTTTCCACCTGCTGCAGCACCCGCACCAACTCCCCTTCCACCTGCTCCCTGCTCCCTTCCCGCAGCACACCCCCCGCACCTTCCCCAACCCCCCATTACCCCTTCCGCCCGCGCTCCTCCCATCTCCATCCCTGCAGCTACCCCTGCAGTGACCGTTGCAGGTACCACCACTGCAGCCACCCTGGCAGCTAGACCCTTGGGACTGCCGCAGCTGGGAGAGCAGTGAGGTGACAGACGCACGCAGCTGCTGCAGCAGCCGCTGCTGCTCTGTCGCCTGCCCGCACACCGTTGCCAGCCGGGCCTGTCCCTGCTTGCCAGCTGGCACGAATCTCAGCTGCTGGATCTCGGCCTGGATGGCCCGAGCCTGCTTGGCAGCTTCGGGAAGGGTGGGGGCGGCCTGGGCTGCTAGGTCCGCCAGGCAGTCTGCGAGGGAGAGGGAGGCCTGGGAGGAGAGGATCGGCATGGGCCATGTGGGGTGGGAGGGCAGATGAGGCGTGTGAAAGGGAAGGCTTTGTGAGCGCATCAGTGCACGTGCAAGAATTTGGACTGGGACTCATGTTGTACAATGGTTGAAGTGAAGTCCATAGACCTCGATAGAACACACCTGTTTGAGCGTGAAGTGCAGGTCTCGATATCAGCACACCTGTTTGAGCGTGAAGTTCAGGTCTCGATACAAGCACACCAGTTTGAGCGTGAAGTGCCGGTCTCGATACAAGCACACCTGTTTGAGCGTGAAGTGCAGGTCTCGATATGAGCACACCTGTTTGAGCGTGAAGTGCAGGTCTCGATATGAGCACACCTGTTTGAGCGTGAAGTGCAGGTCTCGATAGAAGCTGGAGACACAGAGACGACTGGAGCGCCCACAGCGTTGAATCACCGTGCTGAGCCGCCGCAGACACCTGCCAGCATGGCCGCATGAATCCGCGGATTGACGCATGTATGAAGCATCAACGCGGATCACGCATGGCAGGTGTGTGGATCCGAGGGTGGGTGAATGCATCAATGCGGCAACCCTAGCAGTGGTATTCTCAGCAACCCCACCGTTGTCCCGATGTTCAAGACCCAACTCTGACGAGATCGTTAATAGAAACCACCAAGGGACGGCAGGCGAGCGCACCTCTCGAGGCGCAGCAGGATGGCGTCGATGGCGACCTGCTGCCGACCCATCTGCACCGCCGCCAACCACGGCCGCATGTCCTGCGCGCAGCGGGGGGGGACGCGGGGGGAAAGGCAGTGGAATGTAGGGGCACATCAGTGAGAGACATTCGGATCTGGACGAGCTGTGCAAGGGATGGCTGGTACGGATGTGCGACTTTCGCCGGTATCAACTGACGTTCGCTGGCTTTCGCTGACATTCGCATAATTTTGCTAACAGTGGCTGACATTCATGGCATTTGTTGACCTCGACTGACATTCGCTGTCGCTGACAAAGGTTATACACCGAGTGTAACTGTAGCGACGAAATGATGCACACAATGTCCCGAAATCATCCTCGAGACGTGCTGCGCGAAGAGGATGTACGGCTGAATGTAAGAAGCAGGTGAACGACTCACGAACCACAAACCGGCTTCGGGACCTACAAGCGGTCAATGGATGGCAGACGGTGTTACATGGATGCAGGACCGACGCTGACCCGAGAGGATTGCCGACCAACTCTGCCGTGAAGCGAGTAGTCGACGGCTAAGAAGTACGATAACTTAATATCAGGTGGTACGCAGATCGACGACTGACCTTGAACAGCGGTAGGAGGATCGACGACTAACATTAAAAAGCCATGGTAGTACCAAGACGGACTTACTGTATCTTGATCTTAGGTTGTGATAAGATCGGAAGATCGACGGCTAACCTTGAGCAGCGGTCGGAGGATGCCGAGGCATTCTGTTAGCAGCAGGCAGTTCTCGAGCTGCACCTTGGTAGTAGAAAGTGGTAAGATCGACGGCTAACATTCAACACGCACGGAGGATCGACGGCTAACCTTGAGCAACGGGCGGAGGATGCCGAGGCGGTCGCTGAGCAGCAGGCAGTTCTCGAGCTGCACCTTGGCGGCGCGCCCCGCCTCCTCGATCTCCACCACCAGCGCCAGCTGCCGATCCACCGCATCCTCAGCCATCGCGGGCTGCAAAGGCTTTTCCGGCTCGGTTCCGCTCCTGCTGTGATCGGTTCAGATCCGGTCGTATTCGGCTAAAAAGTGCTTATCTTCCACCAAATAACGGCTATCGGCCTACACAGCCATTCGCTGTTGTCTGGAACAAATCTTGCTCCTGCCAGTGCGTATCACTACATCACTGTCTAAACTGAAGAGATATTTGTCGGTTCTGTTCGGTTCAGTGCCTAACAATCACCAATAGCGACTATTTAATCATTCGCGACGCCGCTTACAGGTCTTGCACAGTTCAGTACCCATCCATGTAAATAACACCGCCCTATCATCTACACGCTTCACCGACGACTGACGCGCGTAAGCGTCCTACCACACAACTGCTGTAAGCGCTTTCTTTGCAAATAGAATTTCTCTTCTCTCTCATTCGTCCTGTAGTGGAAAGCAGGAACCGCCTAGCTCGGGAACATCTCGTCGGGCACTGTTGGCCTGTCCAGGTCGTACGTCTTGTGCACGATTCAGGCGATGCGGAGTTCCCAAGGCGGAACGGAATGGACGGAAGGCAGAGATGAGCCGCCAGTGAATGACCACAGGTCGACGAACGAGCAGGCTGAACGGAGAATGGCATAGATAGCTCTGCCATTCGGTTCAATGCGTTACAGATCGCTTGCACCTGGTGGAAACAGCCTGCTGAACGAAGCCCGGACCGCGGTTTGTGCCAGGTCTGTACTGACAGCTTTTGAATTCGAAGCGTGGCGGTAAATGTGCGTCTTGACCATACCTGTAAGGAATTACAATTCCTTACTGTACTCGCACTTTAGCGAGTACATCCCGAAGGTGTCGCGACGAACCTGTTCGGCCTATTTCGTCGGCCGAACCACTCCCGAGTCGGCCTCCGCCCTAATCGTAGCCATCACCGAACCATCCCATCCCGAACCCCCGGCCTAGCTAGGTTTTCTCCTATTTAGGCCTCGCTACTTCATTGTTCAGTCATTCTGTAATCAGTCATTCTCTTTATTCGATATCTGCGCACTCTGACAAGTTCATTCATAACACATGGTATCAGAGCTACTTTCTTAGCCTACCTCGCTTTTTAGAGTGTATTACCCCTCGGGGGGGGGGGGGGGGGGACGAGGAAGGATTTCTTGGGGTCCAGGAGTTGCTTAGGCCCGCTTAGAGAACGGGTTAGTTGCTCTTCGCGGCCATGGTTTTATCTTGCACTCCTCGGCACCGCCAGATCCTTGCCTCGAACGGTCGCGATCGACCGTGACCTCCCTCCCCCCGGACGACGGGAAGCAGTAGCTGTCGCGATGTTAATGTGAGTAATTTCCGCTGCGTTTCCGACGATTTTGGAGGTTTATTCGCGTGGCAGCTGGCGTCAGCGGACCCGCGTCGGCATCTGCATGAGCGGCCTCGACTTCGTCAGCATGTGCGGCAGCTGGCGTCGGCAGACCTGCGTCAACAGTTACGCGAAGATTTCGGGAAGATCTTCGGCAGCTGGCGACAACGGGCCTGCGTCAGCATGGGCGACAATTTCGGAGGTTTCTACTGTGAAGAAAAGGGCAGCTCGAAGAACTCACCAGGCGCAAATGGAGTTTTGCGTCAGAGGATCCCGACGGCTGGGCGAGATAGACGCTCAAGCCACCCGAATTAAGCGGGGGTTGAGTTTCATCCCGTCCGACCGGATAGTACGGCGCTTACCGTACTGGCGGGCGAGTCGTCGACGATTTTCGGCAGAAGTGCTTGTGGACAGACGGGAACTTTGGACCCGCCGACACTTACGGGCTGCAACAGACAACGACGTGGCTAAATCGCACTTAGCAGGAGTGGGGCGCAGGCGCGAGGGCATATCGGGACTGAACACCCGAAAAACACTCGTTTGACGCTGCGTGCCTGGAGCTGCTTGCCAGCTGTTCGACAGTTTCGAGATCGGTTTCCCCGTTCAAGGAAGCCGTTTTCGGGGACAGCCGCAACAGCCCACGATTAAACGGTGTTCAACGTGCCACCCCGACAATTTCGGAGTGTGGTGCAGGCCGCCGGGACACGCGTGAAGAAACTGCCCAACGGCTAAGCGGGGGTTGAAGAACGACGTAGGGAGCAGATAAAAGTCGGTGGAACCGATCTGCGGCCCTACTTCGCCCGAACCTCACCATCCCCACCGATTCATGCAGTCTACCTTATTTGGATGATATAACGGGGGTGAACACGAGCCTACCCTGCGCTGGTTAAAAGCACCTGGTTTGGTGCCCGTTCGACAGCTGTACAGAAAAGACAAAAAAAAAGAGGAGTTGCGGCACTGTTCTACTCCGACAAAAGCGTGTCAGAATCCCAGTCACTAACCACTGGGATAAAAGGGCTTGTTTGTATGGCGGGTGAGTGCGCCCATAACCCCCCAGGCCGACGTGCCTGTAACCCTTCCCTAGGATCATCGGGGATCTCCAGTGGACCTCTGACACCCCCCCGCACTGGGATGCCCGAAGTGCACACACCGGGAATCGAACCCGAGACCTTCGCTCTGATACCATGTCAGAATCCCAGTCACTAACCACTGGGATAAAAGGGCTTATTTGTGTAGCGGGTGAGTGCGCCCATAACCCCCCAGGCCGACGTGCCTGTAACCCTTCCCTAGGATCATCGGGGATCTCCAGTGGACCTCTGACAAAGCGGGCTGGGTGAAACAGCACGCGAAAAAATCGGGGCGCCGCAGGACAACACTGGTGCAGTTCGCTGGTTTCCTCTGACTCGGGCGTCTACACGAGGTGACGACGCAGCGGCGAAGCAGGAACCGGGAGCTGTGGAGTTTAGTGGCGCGACGGGCACGGTGGGCTGCGAAGCGGTTGGGCATGGATTACTTTTTGTTAAGGCTACCCCGACTACGATAGTCTTTTCTTCTCCACCGTGGCTGGGTTTCACGCGGGCAACAACGATTATACCCCATCCGATAAAAGCGGACGCTGGGTGAACGGCGGGAAGCGAAATTGTCGGGGGGTGAAACGACCAAAAAATATGAAGCTGCGGGTATTTCTTCGCTTCTTGGAGTGCGGTTGAGTCGTTGGGGGACTTCGCCTGAAGGGCACTTTTCGAAGTTGCCTGGCAAGAAACTTAGCGGTGAGGAGACCTAGGACCCCCGGTGTTTAAACGCACACCTCGGGAAATTCTTCAAAAAAGGGGAGCGTAGGAGCAGTCGTAGCTTCGGGAACTTATCGGCCGGCGACGAGCGATGGGTGAAACATCTGCAAAGCGCTGGTGGGAGAAACAGGAAGTTTTTGTTAAGCGACATCGGCGGGAGCAGTTTCGTCTACGGGGTCAACGGCGTTGATGCCACTAGGTTCCGTGAAATTCGGTCTCGGAAGACCCAGGGCAGTCCCCGGTTCTCGATTGAACCCACATGCTGGGGTCGGGTAAACCGAAGGAAACTGATGGTGACCGAGTGGGCGGCTATAGCACGTCCGAGATTTTCGGAGGCGAACTGCAACTGCAACGGCGAATTTTACGGGGTTGTTTCGATTGACATTTTCGGAGTTTTCACACGAGGACTTACCGGCGTACGGCGGGAAGCGCCGACAATTTCGTGGGATTTCATCGGCGTCTGATTAAACGCGCGCGACATTTACGTGGGGCAACAACGCGGGAACTACACGGAGTTTTCAAGGGATATGAAGGACTTACGACGAATTGAGGAAGGCGGCAGCAACAGTGGAGAGGGGGGAGAGACAACTATAATTTTTACATCTCTGCCCGGGAGTCATCGGCGGATTGCGACAAAATGCTCGGCGAGTATGGACAAACCCGCCGGAGGTGCTGACATCATCTGACACTGATTCGTGTTCGACAATATTTTTCGGAGTGACATTCGCTACGGTTACTGCTTCGACGACCATCGCCGACTCTCGATAAACAACTTCGCCTGCAATCGCCTTCGATCGCTGACTACGACGACATGTGTAACTCTCCCGATTTTACGGCCAGAGGACTTCGGGACACAACCGCTCCAACTCTACTACCGACAACCGCCCCACTCGACCCACACACGACAACTGCATTGATTTCAACCACGTCAGGTGCTGCCAGTTGCAACTGCTGAGGATTATGGCATGATTCTGGCGCGTGAAGACAAAATTGTTCAGTTCGAGTAACATGAATTTTCCATCTCGTTTTCTGGTCTACAACTGCTGGTTCGCCCTCGAAGAATTTTGGGGCACGTAACAACTGGTTTCGTCATCGAATTTCCACACCGACACAAATTCGCCTGTACTTCCTCGCTCATCACTCGTTTTCAGTGGGACTTAACACCCGGTTTTGTTTGTTTTCATCTCGGCGCAGCTGCTGAAACGTTTTCTGGTGTGTTTTCTTCGAGGGGGGGAGAAAGTGCGCTGCACTGTTCTTTCCTTGGCGTTTTCCCGACTTTCTTCTTTACCTTTGTCAGATCGCGTCAGCACGACGGACGATCACGGTCGCACCGACACGATCTACGGTTCCTGACTCTTCGCGATATAATTTTGCGTCAGCAGGTTCCCTCCAAAATCGCATCTGCTTCGACCGTCGGATCTACAGCAATCGAATCTACGGCCCACATTCCAACCTCCCAATTCACATGGGCCAGTTCTGTCAAACTATATGTGCTGCATAGTGTCTAGGCTGTAGTGGGGTAGCCCATATGGAGTACAACCCAATTAGGGTTTACTACTTGTACTCCTGCATCCTGCTAGTTCACTCATTCCTAATGCTAGATTCTAACATGGTTTCAGAGCACAGCGTGCTGTCAACGCAGCCCGCGCCGAGCCGCGCGCGGCCCTCTGCCTCGGCCCCGACCTGCCGCTGATGCGGCCCCGCCCTGCAGCTGCCACGGCCCCGACCTGCCGCTGATGCGGCCCCGCCCTGCAGCTGCCACGGCCCCGACCTGCCGCTGACGCGGCCCCACCCTGCCACTTGTCGTGCGCCTACTCGACCGCCGCCCGTCGAGCGCCGGCCCTGCTCGCCCGGTGAGCGCCTGCTCTCCCAGCCTTTGGTGA